ACTTCGGTCGGATCCCAGTTCAGCCAGCCAGTGACAAAGAGCAAGATATTCAGCCTTAATGAGCCCTATTTCTTGGGAATGATCAAAATAACGCTGGTGCCCTGCAGACCTTGGGTGGTGGGAAAACACCTCACCAGCTGTCAAATGTGTCCACGTGAAAAGAGTGACAGCAACATGAACCACAATGGTGAGCAGAGGGAGGGGCAGCCCCCAGCATGGTCTCCACGAGGTCTCGTGAACACCTCCCAGGGCACCGAGAAAGGTGGAAACCCAATACCTTGACCTTTGCAGTCAGGCAGCTGCTCTGAGCAACCCCTAACTCTCCTCCCACCATCTGGTCCAGCTGCCAGGCTGAGTCACACGCAGGCCAAGGGACAGGCACATGACCTATGTGTGGGGCTAGTGTGAGGGTGGTGGTTGGGGGAGGGTGGGAAAGGCAGCAAGAGGCTGTCACTCCCCTCTCAGTGGGAAATTTCCTGCCAGAGGTGGAGAGCTAAGCCTGACTCAAGGTCTGGAACTCAGCTGGCTGCCTGGCTGTCTAGCAGAACTCCTCCTCCAGGAAGCCTACCTGGTATGTGTTGAGTGTGTGTACGTGTGCATGTGTGACATAGAAAGAAAGGAAGAAAGTGTACAAGGAAATGATAATAAAAACAACAAATATTGAGCTCTTGCAATGCCCCATCTCTGTCCTAAGCATCTCACAGAGTAAAAGTGAATCTTCATTGACACTGGCATTATCATCCAGATTTTCCAGATGAGGAGACTGAGACACAAGGCTGCTACTTAATTGACCCAAGGTCATATAGCCCTTGGCAGAGACCATCAGATCCCAGAGCCCCAACTCTGAACCTTTCACTCCTTGAAGGGGTTTTCCAGAGGTGACTTATACTGGCATCTGCCAGTGTAACCTTGGGCAAATTAGCCCTGTGCTTGGCCTCGGTTTCCTCACTTGTAGGATGAGGATCATCGCAGCAGTATCCATCCTTCAGGGCTGTTTGGAGGCTTAGTAATTGAGGTATTGAAAGTTCTGCACAAAGGGTCTTGCACATATTCACTCTTGTGAAGGTCGTGGCTGCTAATATGATTATCATACCCAGTACCTTTGAGTGAGGCATAGAAAGTTCCTCAGTCCTGTGCCAGAAGGAATCAAATCTCTCTTTTCTGCAGTTTATCCCTATCATTCATCTGTAACACATAACCTAAATATCTTGTCTTTTTCCTGTTTCCATCTACCCCTGTAAGAAAGCAAGATAAGGCTAGCAAAGAGAGTCCACAGATCTTGGTCACGATTAAGAGGACTTTTTTTTTTTTTTAAGACATCAAGAATCTTGATTTCTGCTAAGAGATTCTCACACAGAAGAAACCTATACAGGGCACCAAGTCCAGCCTGGTGGCAAGAGGACGGATGGAGGAAATTTAACTTTCAAAGTCCCTTCCACCTCTGCATCCCCGGGAGATGAACTCAATCCAAAAATTATTCAGAAAGCATTTACACCGTTCTGGACCCCTGCTGGGGATTGGGAGACAGTACTGAACACGACAGACAAAATTCCCCATCTCATGGAGCTGACGTTCTAGGGAGGAGACAGACAATAAACAAGTAAAGAGATCACCTAATGTCCAGTGTCAAGAAATACCATAAAGAAAAATAAAGCAGAGTCAGGGCAGGGAGAGTGAGAGGAGTGGGGTCTGTTATCTTAAACAAGGGGATTGGGGAAGGCTTTTTAGAAACATTTGAACAGAGAGCTAAGGAGCAACAATGGCTGGGAAAGAATATTCCAGGTTGAGGGAGTGATTGGCATATGCAAAGGCCCTGAAGCAGAACCAGGAGAGAGAATGGTAAGAAATAAGTTCAAACAGGTAGGCAAGGCCTTGCCTCTGTCCTTTCTTTTCTGCCAAACTGGGATGACAACAGCAGCCTGCTGCCCCACCTTCATCTTGGAGCAGCAAGGAGATAATGGAAGGAAAGTGCTTTGAGGGGGAGAACAGGGACTGTTCAGTGTTAGTAATGGACATGCTGGACAAGGCCCATGCCTGGGGCACTTTGGGAGAGTGTGGTTTCTTCTCCCTCCTGGCGAATCTGTTCTCCTAAATACCAGCCCTGGGAAAGTCCAAGGTTCAAACACTTCCACTTGCTCATCCAAGGGATGAAAAGGTAGGGCCCAGAGAGGGGAGGAGACCTGCCCGAGGTCACGGGGGTGCAAGTTCCTGCCAGAGCCCCAGTTTTCAGAATTTGGCTCAAGAGTGTAACAGATATTGAACTGTCCCATTCTCAGGTGAGAGAAAATAAAATCAATATTTTTATCTCCTTAAGAAGTTGTTACTTCCCCCAGGGCAAGATAGGTGAGACTATTTGTTGGGGGTGTGGCTGGGGGGAGTAACACTTTTCAAAGCAAATTAAATGTGTCAAATGAGCAATTTCTCCCGTAGGCTGGTCTCTCAGCTCTCAAGCTCTTAGCAACTGATTTCTCATTTGTGCTTTTTAAAACATTCCCCTTATTTTCATAGGTCTTCACAATGAGTGTTGATAAGGAGAAAACTCAGGGCTCTCTTGTCACCTTTTCCCAGAGGAGGGAACTGGGGCCCAGAATAGTGAAATAGCCCATCTGAGGCTGGACAGCAGGTTTCTCTCTTCAGTCAGCAGGTCTGCTTACAGTGGACTGGGAAACCAATGGGGAGCAGGCCACACGGAGAACACATAATGAACAAGATCATCTCAGAAAAGACCAAGAACTATGGATGAAATACGAGAGACTGGCAGGACTAATTTAGTGTGGTCAGAGAAGGACCCCAGGGAGGGGCCTGTAGCTTGAAAAGCAACCAGTCGTGTGCAGAGCCACACAGAAGAGAGCTCCAGGCTACAGGAGAGCAAATGCAAAGGCCCTGTGCCAGGATCAAGCATGGTGTCGGAAGTGAAAGCCCAGTGTGGCTGGAGCAGGGCAGGCCAGGGGGACCAAGGGGAGATGAGATGGGAGAGGTGGGTGCAGCCCTTGTGGGCCACTGTAAGATGTGGATTCAGTCCTGTGGGCCAGAGCTGCCAGTCCAGGCTCTACAGCTTGTGGCAGGGCTGGGCCTTGATATTCGCCTCTCCTTCAGAACCACGGCTCGCTCTTAAATGACTCCCCTCGGCTTTCTGCACATTCCAGTACTTCCTCAACTGACTCTGCAGGTTCCTGGAGAACCAGAACATGTTAGAGTACAACCATCGTGTGACTCTATCCTACCCTCCTTAGCCCTGATTTCCCACAAACTCACTCGGGATCAACCATCTTTCTCACACACATGCACAGGTAGATCTTCGCATGGGCTTCTCAGAGTTCACACTCTCCTAGAGCCTCTCAGCAGCAGGTGAAGTTGCATTTGCCCAGCACCAGTAGCAGGAATTGGGGATGGGGAGAGAGAGAGAGACTGCTCGCTCTTAAATGACTCCCCTCGGCTTTCTGCACATTCCAGTACTTCCTCAACTGACTCTGCAGGTTCCTGGAGAACCAGAACATGTTAGAGTACAACCATCGTGTGACTCTATCCTACCCTCCTTAGCCCTGATTTCCCACAAACTCACTCGGGATCAACCATCTTTCTCACACACATGCACAGGTAGATCTTCGCATGGGCTTCTCAGAGTTCACACTCTCCTAGAGCCTCTCAGCAGCAGGTGAAGTTGCATTTGCCCAGCACCAGTAGCAGGAATTGGGGATGGGGAGAGAGAGAGAGACGGCAGAGGCAGCAGAGAAGTCCTGCAGGGGTGAATCTGCCTGCAAACTAGGTGGGTAGATGCGGTGTGAGCGTGAGTGGCTCATCAGCTTTGTCCTGGGGACAGGCCCCCAGGGGCCAGAGCTGTCTCCTCTGGCCTTACTCCTGGTATGGGGACGTAGCAGACAGGATTCCAGAATAAGGCTGGTCCAAAATAGCCAGGCAACAGGACAGCTCCCAGGGGACCCTTGGGGTTCTGACACACCACCTCAACCAAATCCCCCTCAAACTTCCAAAACCCCTCTTTGGTGTTATCTTTCTTTGATGTAGGCAGCTGGAGTCTCTTTTTGTTAATTGAAATATAATTGACATATAATATTATATTAGTTTCAGGTATACAACACAGTGATTTGATATTTCTAAATATTGTGAAATACACCGCAATATTTCTAGTTAACATCTTTCACCACATATAGTTACACACTTTTTTTTCTTGTGATCAGAACTTTTAAGATCTACCCTCTCAGCAACTTTCAGATATGCAATACAGCATTATTAACTATAGTCACCATGCTCTTCATTACATTCCCACAGCTTATTTATTTTATATGTGGAAAGATGTACCTTTTGATTCCTTCACCCATTTAGCTCACCTCCCCACCCCCTGCCTCTGGCAACCACAAGTCTTCTTAATATTATTGATAATAATAGCTCACTTTAATGAGCACTTACTATATGCTATACACCATACCAAGTACTTAACAGTTTTAACTCATGAAAACACCTATGTCAAATGCAAGCAAAAAGATTCTTAGAAAACTGGGTGACTGTTCATGAATTTTACCAGGCCAGCTACATCAAAACCACCACCACTGCAGAACCCGTGACTTTGTTCTGCCAGTGCTGCTTTAGTGCCCATCTGGTCACCTGCCCACTCCCCACCCCATGAGATGCCACCTGGGAGACTGTCCACATGACTGCTCCAGTGCCACCCTTCAGGAAGACCTTCCAGACACAAATTAAGGTGCCCTGTATCACTGAACACCCACAAGGATGGCTGCTACCGAAAAAAGAGAATAACAAATATTGGTGCGGATGCAAAGAAATGGGAACCCTTATACTTTGCTGATAGGAATGTAAAATGCTGCAGCCACTGGAAAACAGTATGGTGTTTCCTCAAAAAATTAAAAATAGAATTACTGTATGAGCCAGCATTTCCTCTTCTGGGTACACCCCCCAAAAAAACTAAAAGCAGGGACTCAAACAGATATTTATACACCCATGTTCATAGCAGCATTATTCACAGTGGCCGAAAGATGGAGGCAAGTCAAGTGCCCCTCAGTGGACACTGGGTCAGCAAAAGGTGGCGTATCCACACAGTGGAGTATTACCCAGCCTTAGAAAACCAAGGAAATTCTGACACATTTACAACATGGATGAACCCTGAGGACATGATGCAAACTGAAAAAGCCTGTCACGAAAAGGTAAATACTGTGTGATTCCACTTCTGTGTGGTGCCTGACTGGCCAAATTCATAGAGACAGAAAGTAGAAGGGTGGCTGCCAGAGGCTAAGGGGTTGTGGGGGTCACAGGGGGTGGCGCTTGGAGCTATTGTTTAATGGGTACAGGGTTCCAGCTTTGCTGGAGGAAAAGAGCTCTGGGGATGAATGGTGACGATGGGTGCATGACAGCATGAATGTACTTAGTTAAGCTGTACATTTAAAAGCAGTTAAGATGGTCAAGTTTATGTCACATGTATTTTGCCACAAATCATGTTTTATAAAGAAAAGAAGAAAAAGATGCGTTGTCTCTTCTCTGGGGCCCAGAGAGGAAGACCTGTTTTCCCAGACCGCCAGCAGCCCCGTAGCCCATCCTGTACGTGAAAGTCTGAGGCAGGCCTCTGTGACCCCAGGAGAAGCATCTCAGACTTCGGGTTACACTCTCGGGCTGCGGAACGGAGAGGCAGTGAAAGGAGGTTGAAAGAAATGGAGACAAAATTCTAATGCTGACTTTAGGGGACCTCAGACTATTCATTCTCGCTCTGTGGGCCTCAGTTTCCCCATCTTCCCAAGTGAGGAATTGGTCTTCAGAAGTTGTCCAGGAATCCCAGCTGGCCCCCAGGCATATCTTGCTTGCCCCTCACAAGGTTTAAAATTGAGAAGGTCCAGCAACTTGGGGCTTTGTCCCTCCATGGTCACCACTGCCTAGACGTGGCACCCTTGGATAGGGCTAGGGAGCAGCAGGTCTCCCCACAAGCCTGAACCTTCCCTGCCATGGCTCTGTAGGTGGCTGAGTTTGCAAATCCTAACAAGGTGACACCCAAGGGACCTCTGACTTGAGTGACAGCATGGTCAGTTTCCTGGGTGAAGGTTTCTTTGAAAACACAGTTCTGGAGTTTCCAGTCAGGGGACACACTGTCTCTGAGACCTCACCTTTCTCAGCTCCTCAGCATTCCGCAGACCAGTTCCCTGAATAGGGGGACACTGCAGCAGGGTCTCAGACCCACCCCCCTCCCACCTCCACCCCCCCATTGCCTCAGGACTTGACTTCACACTTCAGTTTTCTGGAGTTCCCAGGGAGACAGGAAGAACGCCTGCAGGGAACCCCCAGGCCCTGCTTGAGAGGCTTTTAGACAGTAACCTCCCTCCCACCCTCCATCTCACAGCTTATAGAGAGTAGAAACAAAAAATTAAAAAATAGCCTTATTAAGGTCTTGTGATTCTTTCCTGACAACTCAAACAGGAGAAACGGGAACTGGCATTGTTCTCCTCCTCACCATCAAGTAATACTAATAATGGCTAATTTTGACTGAGCATTTACTACATGTCAGGCTTTCTTCTAAGCACTTTGTGTATTATTTCATTATATGTCACAACAATCGGAGGAGGCAGACCCCATTTTACAGGAGACACAATTAAGGTAGAGCCCTCACAGTGGTGGTAAGGCCTGGGGTAGATTTCAGCTGTCTCCTCTCATGATGTGACCTTGCATAAGTCCCCTCTTCTCTCCAGGCCTTAATTTCATCATCCATGAAATCTCCCAAGTTGTCCTAGGTCACCATTACAGTCTAAATATTTTGTTATTCCTAGAACACATTTTCTAAAAATCAAAGCATATATGAAAAGGATGAATTGGAAATCACACTTGCCAGTGTAGGGCATGTGTGTATATGTGTGTGTATACATGCCTGTGTGCCTTTTAAAATCTAATTAAGCCACAATCCGTTGCTCTCTTCCTTTCCAACCTGGGCCTGGTGGGATGGCTCCACGGAGAAGGATGGAGAGGAGAATGGCTGTTCTGCCACCGATGAGAATACACCGTCAACCTTCAAAATCACATCCATGGAGTGATTTTCAAAAAGCATGCTCCTTGGACACTCAAAGACATCCATAAATTTGCCATGAAGGAAATGGGGACTCCAGATATGTACACTCACCCAGGACAAAGGAATAAGGAATGTCCCCTCTCCCTGTACAGTTGTCCAGAAAACATAATAAGGACAAAGATTCACCAGACAAGCCCTATATGTTGGTTATCTGTGTCTCTGTCACTACTTTGAACAATTTATAGTCAATGTGGATGAGGACCACTGATCGCCAAATAGTTATAAAGTGCAGGGGGAAAAAAGCCAATTAATCAAACTTTTAAAACAGAGTCTATAATTTTTTTTAAAAAGTATTTTTTTTAGAACCATATTAGGTTTGTAGGAAAACTGAGGGAAAAGTACAGAGTTCCCCTATATACCCTCTCAACCTGCCCCCAAGTTTCCCTTATTAACTTATTGTGTTAGTGTAGCGCATTTGCTACAATTGATGAGCCAGTATTAATACATCATTATTAACTAAACCCATAGTTTACATTAGGGTTCACCCTGTGTTGTATATCCTATGGATCTGGACAAATGAATAATAACACATATTTACCATTGCAATATAATAAAGAATAGTTTCACTGCCATGGAAGTCCTCTGTGCTCTGCCTTTATATCCCTTTCTTCCCTTCCCCCCAACACTCTGGCAACCACCGATCTTTTCGCTGTCATCATAATTTCACTTTTTCCAGAATATCATATAGCTGGAATCACACAATATATGACTGGCTTGTTTCACTTAGTAATATGCAATTAA